CCCCAAGTTTTTTACTCTGAAGCACAACATATGTCAGCATGAAGCTGAACAGCTTTCTGCACTACATATTCTAGCCAAACTATTAGTAACACCTGATATACCCACAGCTCCTCATTAGTCACCTGCCAGCAATGAGCAATTGGTTTAATATTATCACTTGCTTCCCTCATCCCTCTCCTTTTCTCCTACCAATTAAGCATCTGTTAATCATGAGAAACAAATAATAACCTTGGAAAACAAGGGGCAAACATTGTGGGGTTTCTTTTTTTAAATAAAGTGGAGTATGTTGTATATAGTCACTAAGGTGCCCTGGAAAGGTGGAAGCATGTTGTCACATAAAGGTTTTTGTGTTTTTTCCAAGTTCACCCAGGTATTAAAACTGTTGGGCAGAGGAAGACAAGTCAGGAGTACTGACAGGTGCATGTAGATAACATGGATAGGACGCATAGGTGGTAATAGACTTAGAGAGCTCCACCTAGTCCAGTATCTTATTTCTGGCAGTGCCCCAAACAGCTGCTTCAGAGGGAAATGCAAGGAATCCTGCAGTAGAAACCATGGAGCACTTGTCATTGTGGGGATTTCTTTTGAATCCCAATAGACAGAAGTTGGCTCATGCCCTGAAGCCTGAGTACTGATAACCTTTGCAGGAATCACTCCATTTAGTATTTACTACCCACTCTCTACTTTCTTGTCCTTATATACAAAGGTTCAACTCTCTTTTTGAGCCTGCTGAGCTCTGGACCTCAGTGATGTTTGGTGGCAGCAAGTTCATTGAGTCATAGTTCAATGAAGATTGAAGCCAGTGTTGCATAGATCATGCTTTCACATCAGCCTACTGCTCAGATCCTTCCTGTTCCATCCTGTATCAAGTCCCAGCTTCAACTTTTCATGCTCCCCTACCTCTGCCCTTTTAACCTGTGGCTCCGCTCCACAAAGGTGAGGGAAATGGACACCCACATACTGCTGAGGATATGAGCCTATGTTCCGCCCAGTTCCTCCTGCCTCATCAAACCCTTTCCGATGCCTCACTGCACCCCTCTGTTCATGCAACAGCCTCCATTCAGGACAGCTTTCCTCTGATGTATCCAGGAGCTAGGGCAGCGGCCTGATTCTTGGTTGAAGAGGTTTGGTTCTGCTCTGCCACAGATTTCAGTGTGATTTTGGGCATGGATCCAAGAGTATTTGGTTAACTTCTAGACACCTCCCCCCACCACTACAGTAGAATCCAAATGGTAGAGTTAGGTCTCTGGACTCCCTGGACAGTCGGTGGAAAGGTGAGTGTCTCCGAAAATGCAGGACCCCCCCCCCAACACGCGCGCGTACACACACACACACACACACACTCTCTGGGAAGCTGGCTTGCTAGGACATACTGAACACAGGCATATATATAAAATCCCACCTTCCCCCTGGAGCTTTAGCTTCTACATCAAGGCTGTGGGGAAGTGCCTCCATCCCTTCAGGATCAGTGACCCAGAGTGCTCTCCTGATGTGGTGTCTACAGCCATTTTTTCACAGAATTGAGCTGGGGGGTTCCCAGGTTTTCCTCTAAAATGTGGCAGCAATGCCCACCTTTTATATAGCAGCCCAGGGGTCAGGGAACTCTGCCTGGAAGTGAGAAACCAGGGTCCCAGGCTTTCCCTAGCCTGAGGAGATGAAACCCACATCTTCCACCTTCCGTGAGGATGTCCTCTCCACCAGGGCTGTATGCTATGCTGAGGCAGGGGCACTGTCCAGCCCTCCCACTGAAACTGTGTCATTGGGCAAGCGAACATTCAAGAGTCAGAAGGAGAACATAGTAGTTCAGACACTCAGCCAGGTGTGGGCAGGCCTGGCTTCTTGTCCATGCTCCCAGGATCACTCCTGGTTTTGTATACAATGCATGTCAATGTAAAATGCATAAATAGGCTGGAGGCTGGGGACTGGAAGCTAAGTCTCTCTCCTCCCAGCTGACTGTCCTCACCATATAGCTACAGGATCTTGCTCTGGTGCTCTCTCTTTCTGGCTCCATGAATCTTGCCTACCTCTCCACGTTGGCACAACTCCCATAGAAGGGGTGGAAGGTCTCCACATCCTAATTTAGATCCAAACCTATAGGTTACAGCACTCTTTTGGGAGGGAGAGATGTCAGTTTGAACCATTCAGGCTGAGGGAAAATTGATCCTGGATCTCCTATTTACTGGGCACTTTTATGTAGGCTACTACATAAAAGATGGGCAGAAGCAGAACCTTCCTTGAGGTGTTTTAAAAATAAACCCTCAGCTTCAGTTGTGCAGGACTCAACCCTGTCAGTGTGTGCTAGGTGTACTCTGAGCAGGCTGCTTGGCTTACCTTCTGGGTCCCCAAAGGGCTGAGGATAGTAGCTAAATACAACATTGCTCACACTAGGGCAATTTTAGGCCTGTCCAAAAACATAAGTGCAGATGCCTAGGGCACTGCAAGGTCAAACAGGGGGGCACTAAAGGAGTTTAAGTAGCTGCTGAGTTGGGGCTTTGGAAATCACAATTTTGGATTTAGGTGCCGGATGTCCACCTAAGCCCTCTTTTGGGCTTGCTTTGGCCTCCTTTGTCAATATTGCCCATCTGTAAATCAAGGATAACAGCACTGCCCTACCATACAGGATGCAGCTAGGATAAATATATGGCAAGGTTTGCAAAGTGCTCTGTCTTCCAGGAATGACAACCAACCACATCCGTAAGATTGGCAGTGTACCATGCTACCTTAAATCTCTTTTAAAAAACACTTCTTCCCTCTGCCTCCTTGTCCCCATTCATCTCATAATCCTTTGATGTAATCCACATTACAGTATCAGCATCACAATTTGTACAAAAGCTGGATTAAAAGTCACAAAATTGAGCACTTTGGAGTTAGAAAGTGCCAGTACTGAGGCTGCCCACACATGAGGGGGCCGAATTAAAGCTGCCTTGGCAAGATTAACTCTGGCATCCCCTGATTGCCTGATCTTGCAACTTTAAGACTCCTTTAACATCTGCTTTACATCTTTAAGGAAATTTCCTAGGAATGTAAAGAAAAAAATTCACCATATTGGAAAGGTGGTTACTTACCCTCATGTTCCAGGACCTGCTAGCCTCATGGATCCCCACTCCAGGTGCACTTGTCTTCTGCATGTGAGGTCAGATTTTTTTGGCCAGTAGGGTCCATTATGGGGTACATGAGTGCCCCATCTCTCAATGCATTCTAGGCTCCAGGTAGAGAGCTCAATTTTCATTTGGGTTCCTTCTCTAGTACAGGATCCCAGTGCCATAGGACTAAAAAGTGGCAGGGGAAGAGGGCAAGTCCTGGG